CTCACAGCAACCTCAAAGTCTTAGGCTTAAGCAACTCTCTTGCCTCAGCCTTCCAAGTAGTAGCAGGCGCCCACCACAATGCTCAGCTATTTTTTTGTTGTAGTTGTCATTGTTGTTTAGCAGGCCTGGGCTGGGCTGGAACCTGCCAGCCCCGTTGTATGTGGCCAGTGCCCTAACCGATGGGCACCAAGCCTTAGTCATCATGTCTTACTAGTTTTTTCTAATCTAAAATGATTCTCCCCCCTTCTTATTCATGACTTTGACATTTTAAAAACTATGCAATGGTACTTTATGTAATTTTCCTAAATTTGTGTTCATTTAATGTTTCTGCACAATTACATTCAGGTTATGCATGTAAATCCCTGGCCAAAATGTTGCAAAAGCGACATAGTGTCTTTTTCAGGGTATCATACTTACCTGAGATATACAATGTCTCTCTGTTCCTCACTGGTATTATTAATTTCTGTTACCCACTCAAAAGTGTTGTCTGGTTTTTCCAACACATAGCATACAGAAAATTAATTTTCACATATAGTGGACGTCCAGTTGCTCTGGCACCATTTGTAAAAGAGATTTGCCTTTCTCTAATGAATTATCTTTGTGTCTTTGTCAAAAATCAAACTGACTATATTTGGGTGGGTATGTCTGGATTCTATTTGATTTACATATCTTTCTTTTCACCAATATCATAGTATTTTGAATAAAACACCTAAAATTAGATAGTGTGAGTTCAATGTTTAGTCTTTCAATTCATGAATATAACATATCTCTTCCCTTAGTTTTTTCTTTTATCAGTGTTTTATAGTTTTTAGCACACAGATCCTACAAGTATTTTGATGCATTATACGCAACACCAAATAATTTGCTATAACTATTGAAAGTATAATACTTGCAAACCTCTGCAAAGAACACAGATTAGTAAAATCTTACATTAGGAAATAAGAGATAAATATCATATCCTATTTCAAAAAATGAATAGACAGGCTCGGCGCCTATGGCTCCAGCAGCTAAGGCGCCAGCCACATACACCTGAGCTGCCGGGTTCGAATCCAGCCAGGCCCGCCAAACAACAGTGACGGCTGCAAACCCAAAAATAGCCAGGTGTTGTGGTGGGTGCCTGTAGTCCCAGCTACTTGGGAGGCAGAGGCAGGAGAATCGCTTAAGCCGAGGAGTTGGAGGTTGCTGTGAGCTGTGACGCCACAGCACTCTACCCAGGGTGACAGCTTGAGGCTCTGTCTCAAAAAAAAAAAAAAACAACAAAAAGTACTCTGTTACAAAATAACAGAGTATTTGTTGTGATTATACACAGTCGACCAAGGTCTGCCACATATGTTAGGAAGCTATCTGGTTCCCAAGCCAGTGTTCTCTTTGGCTTTTTTACTTACTTATCCTATGGCCTACCTCATGTTGGTTCTATTTAAGGTATGGGAAACTAAGAGAGTATGTTTATCTTTCTGGCAATTGAGAAATAACGATCCTATGAACATCCAACTTTGTAGTTTGGTTTCCAATACTTCCTATGATACCAGTCCTTATTAGCTTACCTGATGAGATAATCATGCTGGCTTGTTCAGTTATACCATATATATATATTTATAGACAGAGGCTCAACTCTGCCACCCAGGCTAGAGTGCAATGATGTCATCACAGCGCACTGCAACCCCAAATTCCTAGGCTCAAGTTATTCTCCTGCCTCAGCCTCCCAAGTAAACTGGGACTACTTCACCACCTTTTAGAGAAGGGGCCTTGCTGTTTCTCAGGTTGGTCTCCAACACTTGAGCTCAAGCAATCCTTCTTCCTTGTCCTTCCAAAGTGCTAGGCCAGTTATATTATTTTTAAATTTAAGTAATCCCTACTGCCAATTAATCAAAATTCAGAGATATGTTACAGAGCTATTTTTAATCACATAAAAAAATATGAAGAGAAACTCTACAAACTCTATATACAAACACTGCACATTTAGTCTTGTCATAGGGAGATGAGAGAATATGTAACAGAAGAATGTACACACCCACATGGCTTTATCTGATACCACAAAATATGAAGGTTAGTGCTCTAGAAATGTAATTTCACCAAAAGATTTAATTCTGTATTATATTCAAACGTTCCTCATTTACATGGTCCTATTTCCCAGATATCAGAAAACATGTGCTTTGAGCAATCGCACCTTACTCCTCCATGCTTTCAGTCAATTATTCCTGGGATTGTCCTAACCTTAACTTGAGTTTCCTGGCCTCCTAAATTAGCATTTAAAAAAAAGGTCTTCCTCCCTATGTTTAATTATACAAATCTATAAAATATACAGTTAAGCTGGTATATATAGCAAAGTAAAACCTTGTTATGCCTTTCTCTAGATATGAAATCAGCAAACTTTTGTTTTTGTATATTGAGATAGGATCTCAATCTGTTGCACAGAATGGAGTGCAGCAGCAGCATCATAGCTCACAGCAACCTCAAAATCCTGGGCTCAAGCAATCCTCCTGCCTCAGGCTTCTGAGGAGCTGAGACTAGAGGCAATACCACCATGACCTACTAATTTTTCTATTTCTCATAGAGTTAGAGTCTTCCTACTCAGGCTGATCTTGAACTCTTGGCCTCAAGCAATCCTGCCTTAGCCTCACAAAGTTCGAGGATAATAGGCATAAGCCACTATGCCTGGACAGTAAACTTTTTCTCTCAAGGGCAACATTGTAAATATTTTAGGTTTTGGGAGCCACATACAATCACTGTGGCATATCACTGTCCTTTTTTCTTTCATTTTTCATTTTTTATTCCCCCTTTTTAATACAAAAATCATTTAGTTTGGGAGCTGAGTAAAAAACATCACAGGTTAGATTTGGCCCAAGGACAGTAGTTTCTTAGCCCCTTCTATAAATGAATCTTTGGTTAACACTTTGCCACAGTTGCTTTAAAACTGTCGATCCAAACACATATTTTGTTATCATTATAATTATTATTATTATATATTACCAAAGAGCCATTTGAGAGTAGATACTCTGATCCTTGGTCCTGGAACACTTCTTTATGTATCTCCTGAGAATATCAACATTCTTTTGAATAATAACAGTAGAATTGGCAAATTTAAGAAATTTATCATTGAAGCCAGGCATGGTTGCTCATGCCTGTAAATCCTAGCACTCTGGGAAGGCAAGGCGGGTAGAGCAATTGAGCTCAGGAGTTCGAGACCAGCCTAAGCAAGAGTGAGACCCCCATCTCTACTAAAAATAGAAAAACTAGCCAAGTATTGTGGTGGCACCTTTAGTCTCAGCTGCTGAGGAGGCTGAGGCAAGAGAGTTTCAAGTTGCTGTGAGCTATGATGCCATGAAAGCCCACCCAGGACAACAGAGTGAAATTCTGTCTCAAAAAGAAAGAAAGAAAGAAAGAAATGATTTATCATTGATATAATCTAGTGTATATACAGTCCATATTCAAATTTCACCAACAGTCTCAGTCTGTTTTTTTTCTAATCGGGATCACACATTATGGCCTAACTTCTAGGTCTCTCCTAAACCAGCTTCTGATATTCGGCTTACAAAGATTTGCTTTGGTTGTCCTATTATAAAGAACTTTATTTTGGGGACTATCATACTTTCTCTCCTATCCAGAGCTCTCTGAAATAATAAGCCTAAGTAGGGCAATCTTAGCCAGTGTTACATAAAGAGGAACACGTAATAGAAAATCACTTCTGGGCTCAGTGCTCATAGCTCAGTGGTTAAGGCATTCTTAGTAACTGTTACATAAGGAGGCGCAAGTAATAGAAAATCACTTCCGGGCTCGGCACTTGGTAGGTCAGTGGTTAGGGCGCTGGCCACATGTACCAGGGCTGGTGGGTTTGAACCCAGCCCAGGCCTGCTAAACAACAACAACAACAAAAATAGCCAGGAGTGGCTC